TTCTCAGTAACTGCCTGTCTATCCCAATGAATCCTTACCTGAGCAGATCAAATTAACAGGCAGTGCACCAAGGTTTTTTTTTGCGTTGTTCACCCACTGTGTGCTACACAGCCACAGGGGACAAAGTGAACAGCAATAAAAGAAGATGAGTGAGGGATTTGGATAAGTCACCCTGGATCACCCCATTATATGAGCTATTGTCTTTTAAACCCTCATCAGCATAGCAGGATTTCAAGTGTGACTCTACCCAAGCTCAGGCAAAACTTCAGTCCCACCAGGGCAAAATAATTCACCTTTTTCAGCACACAATGTAGCCGCAGCTTATCAGCTGATGAAATAAAGGCCTCCTCAATTATGAGCAATAACAAAATCCCACAGCAAGACCTTACATAAAGGCAACACTTCTGGGAAATTGTTCGGGGATAGTACTCAATTCTCAAAAATAACAACCTCCAGAACTCTGGATCCTTGTATTTCCTGCACCTATAGTGATAAGCAAGTGCAATTTTTTCTTTTACAAAATGGTTTCAAAGAAAGAGGGGTGCTATAATTTAAGAGAAAACCTTAACCATAAAGAAAAATGTGCACTCACTCAGAGAACATCAAATAAACAAATAAATATGGTACACAAACCTGATTCCGTTGACAAATTGTATAAAAAAAACAGTTTCCAGTGGCCATAGATAGAACTAAGAATTAAGATAGCTGTTGTAGCTTTGACACGAAGTATAACAAGGTACAGGAACAGATCCAGAGTGGTGGCAAAGGGGTTGCATGACCCCCGTATGATATATTGTGATTGGCTGTTATTTTGGACATACATTTGCTTTTTGAATCCTTGAAGATGATCATTAATACCACCCCGGTATAAATCAGAATTTAGCTGGGGCACCCCAATATGGACTTCATTCTGCTCTTTTTTTAACATGTGCAATTTGCTTTGTGTTGAATATTTCAGTTATTGTAGTTTAGCTTTTTTTTTTACTTTCCTGTTAAGATATATTTCTACTTTCTTTTGCCTAATTTACTTGTTTCACAAAGAGTTATCAGCCAATTCACTGACCAATCACTATACCAGGTATCAAAGCCCAAACGTATTAACAGTTAACTCTGTATTGTGAGCGGGGATGGGAGAAAACAGCATTTTCTTATGCAAGCAGGTAAGTAAGTTAAAGAGCATTTCTTGACAATTATTCCACTTTTGAGTCACACAGGCACCCAAGGTTGTGCTATTTTGTGTGTGTGTGTCATTTGGTTGCACATGAAAGTACCTTTAATCCCGTTTGATACATGATTACAGCTGTTTTGTGTGTTTGGTTAGTAGTTGAAAAGGAAAAGTTCATGATTATGGTTGGAAAAATAATGAGGAGTAGGTTTTGGCAAAAAAAAGGGGGCTCTATTCTCCTAGCTGTGGTCCTGCATTTTTAGCCAAATCATAATGTACATTTTTATTGTAGTCAACGTACAAACTTACGTCACTATCTGTCTTAAAATGCCTCTGAAAATGTCACTGTGCACCCCCTATTACCTTACCTAGGAGTAAAATCACTGGCACTGAGTTTATAGTTTTTAGTTATGACAGTGTGACTTCACTAGAAAGTGATGCAGCAAGGTGATTATCAAGATTATTGCTTTCATAAGCCATCTGCAGTCAGTTTTTGAGGTAATCTGAGGCAACTGTTGTCATCCTTGTACAGTGTAATGGTTTTTTTTTTACACTGAATTTAAACTATAAGGGCTAAGGTCAAATGTATGAACAAATTTAAAGGTCAGAGGTCGGCTAAGTATTGAGCAAATAGTGGACATGAGAGGACTCAGGCACAACAACATGATGTGGCTTGAGTGCTCTGTGGAGGGAGAATAAGATTGCCTCAGATTCAGTGAAATCTTCTGAGACTCTTTACCTCCCCTCTCTCTGTCCTCCAGTACGTTTTTCGAAACATGTGTCGATTAAAGTGAAAGCAGCCTCCCCCCCTCTAACTCACACACACACACAGACACACACACATACCCTTTTCCCCCTTCAGCTACAATATGTGCTTTATTGATCACAGGGCTGTTACTTGGATTGCTGTTGTAGTTAGATGTCATTGCAATGGTCAGCCAGAGCTGCCTCACAACAGCACAGGGGAGCTCTGCACAAAGAATTTTATTTTGAAGGCTTTTAGCAGATAAAACATTCAGGAAGGGCTGTGAGGCAAAAGCTGCCAAAATAACAACACAGATGTTTTGATATTTAAGTTGAATTTATGTGCTCTCCATAAACTTGAAATAAGAGTCTCGGTGAAGTCAGCTGAATGATTGATTGTCCTATCTAAATATTTTCTCTCATCACATCAAAGTGAGGTGAATTTATGTCCACGCAAAAGTCCTCCTGTATATACTTGGGGCGAACCTGAGACGTCTCACACAAAAGAGAAAGCCAATTAAATATTGATTGAAATTCTTGGACAGGGAGATGGATGTGGTTGCCTGCAGTCAGCAGAACAAACCCCACAGGTGAATGCTGTATGTTTCCTTTAATTAAGTCAAAAATAATTAAATATTCTTGACCATCAGTGGCTGTCTTAAGAGTTGATTCCCCATAAATAACCCATGATCTGGTCCGTTGCCAGGTTTTTAAGCTGTAAGTGCCTCTTTGCTGTCTCAAAGTGCTTCAAAAGTGCACAAGAAGTCCTGATATTTTGCAAAGTGTGTGGCAACTGGCCAATGACACATCAGTGAAAACAGTACTTTTTCTGTCTCGTCATTTTTTTATATCCACACCATTAGCCACGTTATTTTAATCGGGGTCAAGCTCCAAGGATTGAGGTTTGACAAGAACATTGTAAACTACTTGTCAGCAATCAGATTTTTTGTGCAGGATCATTTAGGGGACAAGTGTCCGTGATTTCACTCAAAGGTTACTAAAATTGGTCTTCTTCTTTTACAGACTGACTCCTTTGATTTTGTTGACAGAAATGTTGCTGCATTGTGCCATTTAGCTATTTCAGCTAATACTCACCTCATTAATCGGTGCCCGGACACACTGAAGGGGTCCCACATTCTGAATTACATCTAGTGTTTTTTTAAATGCTAGAAGACATGCTAAAAGGGATATGAGGAGCTTTGAACTGCCTTGAAGTGTTTTCCTTTAAAAAAAAACATGAAATTAAGTAGCTCTGAGAAGCCTTTGCTGTCAATAACCTGTGACTGATGCAAAATAATTATAGTCATCAATACCTGGTGTAATCATTGACCAGCTTAAGCAACAACAAAGCCCTGAAACTGAATATAGACCACCATGAAAGAGCCTTAGCAACCATTTCAATCACTAAACACCCATATCTGAATAGCATATGAGGGGGCTTAAATCCATAGCTATAGCAACAGGGCCAACACATGGTCATTGCAACCAAAGTCATCGTTCTCCAGAGCTGTATGTGGTGGAAACCTTCTCCTAAAATCCTGCAGATTCTGTTGAATAGGAGTTTTACAACTGATGCCTGCAGCCCACCACTGAAGCATATTTAATGCACTAACATGCATTAAAAATGAAGTTTCACATATAGATACATACTTGAGCCATTTTTTCAGGCAGAATTCCCACCCAGATGGACTACTATATAGTTTTGTGATCATAACTAGGCCTTCTTACAAACCTACAAAGTCACAAAGTTAGCAAATATTCAGGTCACCTTGTTAGCTGAATGTGCTAATGATCACAGTACATTGGAGCAGGACACACTGTTAAAACTAATACTTGAGTGTATAAAGCAGGGCTCAAAATTACAGCCATGAATTTTAAAATTTCATCTGTATGACCTCAAAATATATGAGATTTCTTTTTAAGGCATTTATAAAAGTGCAAATTGTTGTGGCACAATGTTTCACTTGCTGATGAAGTGACTGGTAGTTGATTGGTAATGCCTGTTAAGAGGCACTGTGTTATGACATCAGTCAAGGGTAAAACCAGTCAGCTTCATCCTATCCAGGTCTTGCATAACCAATCTCAAACCAACATCAGTCTCACTGTCTCCACACACCAAGCCTGAGAATCCTTGAAAATCAATCGTGTGAATGAATTACATGTTAAGTCAATGCAAAGAAGCGATTAGACGCTCGTACTACTCTGGCGGCACAAATGACGTGAAATGTTTCAATTTGAGTGGATCTTCGCGTCGTGATAACCAATCAGCACGAAGGTTGCCAGGTGACGTATGAAAAAGGACGGTTGTTCACTGGCATTGAAAATGGAGGACAAACTAATCGTGTCGGTGGGTGTGGGTGCCCTGAATTATATGATACCTTTTATTTCAATCACCGCAACAGTGAGGAGGTTGGATTACATGGTAAGTTGTAAAAAACCTTCGTCTATCACTTGGTCCTGCTGGTTGAATTGGCAGGGATTACCGTTGAAATTACCGTTGGCACGCAAATGAAGCGAGTGAATACTATTCATTCATACGTCTAGATTCGCTCGAATTAAGCGGGTGGATGAATTTACTCACGTTTGGTGTGAACGCCCCATAAGACTCTTTACTTTCACTATCACTCCCTTTTACCGCACTTTACTGTATGTGACTGAGAAAGCAGAGGAGCTGAAGAAAGAAGATCCAGAGAACCCAGAGGGACTTCATGCTGTGGTAGGTGTAATTCCTGAAGTTTGAGATGGTGATGATAATGGTGTGGTGATAGGTGCACCTGCAGGTAATAACGCTCACAGTTTTGGAGAGTGGTTGAGACTCCTGAATGACTCTGCTCTGAAAATGGCACAATATTCTTTTTTGTTTTTCGCTGTAAAGCTTGTGGAACAGAGGTTTAAGGTAACACTGCCTTCATAGTGTATTTAAGTTAAGGAGCTCCTTCAATTTTGTTAAGTGCTCCTATCATTTCAAAGTTGGGAGCATCAGTGGTACCATGTAAAACAACTAATTATAGGCCCTGTATGGCTTTTTAAAAGCGAAAAAAAGGGCCAATGTTTTCGAAAATCTTAATGTAAGGGAGAATCTCTCTGCAAATGCTCTTGAGTTGGCAAACATTCAGTTGCTTTTAGGGACTGATTTTCTTTAGTTCTCTCTTAATTTATATATTTTCAGCTCTACAGCATAAGTTTCAATCAGTGCCCCACAGTACACTTAATGAATCAAACTAATTTGCTGGAGTTAAAATGATATAAATTAAAAGATCTAAATCACTCACGGCTATTTAAGTGCTCTTCTGTAAATCTGTGAAAAGGAAGGAGGGGGGCAAGGTGATTCAAGCACAACAGGCTCAACCGCAGACTTCCAGAGCAGGTGTGCAGATACCGTAGTGAAGCTTTATTTAGTTGCTGTCAGGTAAACAGACTGCTGAAGAGAGAACAAGTAGCAGGGGTAGGTGTCATTCTGGCAGGGAGCACAGTGAAGAACAGGAGCAGCAGAGCTGGGATCAAGAAGCACCTGCTGCTCCCTCAAGAGCTCGTCAGCAGTGTGGAAATGCTGTGAAAAAGAAAACAATCAACACTTTGCCATGCAACGAACAAATAATTCTCGCTGGGCGTTTTGAATGGGGAGACTAATAATGGCATGAGATGTGTTTCCATTGCTCGCTCTGGTGAGACAGTAATCACATTATGCATAACATTTTTGCATCTCAATGCATCTGGCCCTTTTACCTGCGCAGTGGGAAATCACGGTGTGTGGGGGGACTCAATTTGCAAACACCAATCCGGCTCTTCTCCCCGGGGTGGTGCACACAGAACACACGTGTGAAAACAGTACACATGCTCGTATATTTAGAGCAGTTTAAGTTCACTTGAAGCAGAAAACGGCAAGGGCACGAGGTACTGCAGAGTCAAGTGGGTTTAATGCAACACACATCCACATCAAATGTCCAAAATGAGCCTCACGTTAACTAAGAAACCGCATAGCATTGATACAGCACTGCAGAGCTGAGTGAACTCGTACTTGAACAGAGGTCAGCAGTTAAATGATGACGGACTGAGGCAATCAGGAATCTTTTTCCCAGTTGTGTGACTTTCCCACAGCACTATACTTGTTCATTATACACTCTGGGCACATCACTTTAGCGGGCTAATTCCTACCGATTCCTCAGCCACACCACCCACAACCACTTCTTCTAAACCCAGCCTGCATCATTGTTAATGCATCACAGCTACTGTGCAGATCAACAGGGAATGACTACAGGACTCAAGTGGAATCCCAAAATGTTACATTAGCACTTCTATCAACTCTTACTCTGAGGAGAAAACTAATGTTGCAAGGGATGAGAAAAAAAAAACACGGAGGCAAAAATAAGATATAATGCTTCAGATTGCTTAATAAATCCATCTTTTTTAAATGCATCAGTGTGTTTTTTTTAATGCCTCTCTGTTCAGTTTTGGCAGATATCAGAGCCTGACATCCAACCAAAATTCAACATCTGTCCAATGCTGGCGCTTGATGTGAAGAGAATGTTGCATTTTGACAGTGGGCCCAAATTTCAATTTTTAAACAAAGTTTTGTGTCATTTCAAGTTTGTGTTTGATGTAAAGCCATTTTGAAACTCATTTTCATATCTAACAAAATTCAAAATCTGTCCACAGAGTCAGTTTTCCCGTCATTAGTGTATGTCCTCTACCCTTTTAAAATAAATCCTGGCTAATTATTTTCAAATTCTGCTCTCTGAGGCTCATTTAAATGAAGTATTATACATCCATATTTGTGCTTTTATTGATAATTAGTGCCAATAGCCATACATTAAACCTGTATACATGTTCATCAAAGCAGTTCGGTGCATTAAATGATAATGAAAGTGCTGAATAGAATGACCTATTTCAGATGAAAATCGCCAACATACTGTATCTAGGCAACATAACAACCTACATTACAGATTAGTATTACTAATCCACTCTGCAGAGTATCATGCATGAATTTAATAAAGTGGACCCAACAGGATTATCCTCTCATAGTGGTTCTATGCACAACAAATACTGCCTCTAATTTGATGCATTTAAAACAAGTATTTATTTTACTGCATCGAAAGATAAAGAAAAAATATCCCTAAGAAGTTAACGTTTTTCCAGGATTGCTTAAGATATTCGTAGCAGCAGGAGTGCATGCTCTATACAGAAAACATATGGTGCTTTGTGTAAAAATCCGCACATCTGGAGATGCAATATGTGTGACACAAAAATAAATGAATTGAGTCTTATCAACATTAACCTACAAAATGCTGTTTAAGAACAAGTAAAAAGTAACAGAGACGTTTTTCTACACGTGAATACAAATGAACAAACAAATCTTGTATGCAGAGTTTGGAAATAAAGCGATCGACACATTATATGGTGGTGTAAGTTCAGGAGACACAGTGAGGAGAGGCAAAAGACAAAGTGGGGGACTGAAATGCACCACAATCCTCCAGTTAATAGACTCTCTTACTCCCTGAGTGATTGTCTGTAATAGTGGAGAACACCATTACACATGTCCTCTGTTTCCATTCCTCACCATGAAGAGCGGGAATGAGGAGGAGCCAGAAGATGAGCAGGAGCTGGAACACTACCTGCTTCGATAGTATCGATTAGTTAGTTTAAAGGAAAAGCTCATGCAGTGGTATATATGCTGTTAGGAATTATGAGGCTTATTGGTAAAGTTTGCCTCTGTCTAATAAATAAAGCATTTTTCACACATGCTGTTTTCTAACTACTGCATTTAGAGTAGATAAAATAGAAAAACCGAGGAATCTTCCCAGGAAGAAACTGCATGTGTCCGTTTTACTGCGGCATAAAGAAAACGAAGCACCAAACAGGGAATCCAATATGCAACCAACACACTAGATGCATAAACAAATCAACAACCAGTTGCCTCCCCTTCCTCCAATCTGTATTCAGACCCTCAGTCCTCCCCCAGCATGGATCATCTTGAATCAATGGACAGTAATGCACCAACAATACCCCCCTGTCAGACTCACCTCCCCCAACAGCAGCAACAGCAAAGCTGTGAGATTAAAGTAGGTTCAGCATAGTGCAGGAATTTCCAGGTGTGATCCCCTCCCCCCCTCAAACACATACAATTTGTTGGACTTGATGCAAAGCAGCAAACATTATTCCAGCAGTGGTTCACATCAGGCTGCGTCAGAATTCAGGGTGTGATAACAGTATTCATGTAGAAAGGAGAGGGATACTAAAAGGGCTAAACGCACTGAGCTGATGCACAAACAGTTGGGGGCTTTAGGTTGTCAGGATGTTTGGTAAAAGCTTCAGTGACTATTTTCTATAGAATATTAAATAAGGAAAAACACAGACACAGACTCACACACACTGTGCACTCAGAGATTGAAGGTTTAAAAAGGCCAAATTGGAGCGGATTACGATATTCCCTGTCATTTCATGATTGCACTCAGAAGACATACTTCATTCTCATATGGGTTGACTGACTTATTAATAAAAGGACATATCCTGGATGATAAAAAAAAAAATCCTCATTCATATCCTGATTTTCAGAGGAACTTGTAAAGGGATTATTCTCCGTTAGCAAGTCCCACCAGGTACCGAGACTTCAAATAAACATCATTCAACCTCAGACCAACTGACGGGGATTAACTGTAAAAGTGTTTGTGTTCACTGTAACCGAGACAGTAATACAGTCTGATTCTGTTTTTTTAAGGACGCTAGAAACATTGACATTTATTATCAATGTATTCTAGGGAACAAAAATAATAGGATCACAGTAATACTATTGTGTTTGCTGCACATGCCAAGCCAAAGCTGATCATTACTGCAACCACTTAAGACCCACTTTCTCTGCCGGTTCTCTGTATTTAGCTGCTGCATATATACCATAGACTGTACAGTATATATATATATATATATATATATATGTGTGTGTATATATATATATATATATTAGTGATGCACGATATGAAAAATTTCAACCGATACCGATAACCGATAATTTTCTTCTTCTCATGGCCGATACCGATACCGATAACCGATAAATTCATATTTTTACATTTATTATAATCTTCATAAAATCTGCAGTTTGTGCAGGATGCAGCGATTGAAAACTGATATTTTTGTTGCTCTGGCCTATCTAGAACAACAAACAAAAGTTTTTGGCTCTTCAAATGTGGTCATTTGCTATAAATAACAATAACAGAGCAAAAAGCAGAACTTCATTTGATCCCCTGAACTGTTCAACAGAACTGTAAACGGTAAAGGAGCTATTATGAGCCGTTAGGCTTAGCATGCTGACCGGACTAACATCTGACGTCCATATGTCTGTGGTAAAACTCACGTGTAGTCCGTTCTTGTCGATCAGGTTGTGAATGTTTGTGGCGACAATATCACAGAGTGCAGGAAGAGACACATCCGAGAAGAAGCAGCGGCTTGGGAGAGTGTAACGTGGCTCCAAGTGTGCTATGAACTAGCGAAAACCCGGGTTCTCAACGACGGAAAAAGGCTGGTCGTCGACCGCTATGAATTCCATCACTTTGTCGTTAATGGCTTTAGCCTTTTCGCTGTCTCTTGAGAAGCTTTTGCAGTTTTTAAACGCCTGCTGAATGGGGACATCGATCCTCCGTAGTGTTGTTGTCTTAGCTTTAGTACCGCTAGCAGCTTCGGCGGCTGTCTCATATTCTTTTAATACTGCTTCGCCGCGATGGCGACTTTTCAGATGAGCTATCAGATTCGTTGTGTTAAAACTTGACGTCTTCTTTCCTCCTCTTGAAATCCTCGCTGAACAGGTTTTGCATATAGCAATGCTGTTGTCATCTTCTGCCACTGAGAGAAACGACCATGCTAGTGAAGACATTTTATTATCTGTCAGGCAGTGACGGGGTCAGGCTTGGGACCTGCGAGTAAAGCTTGATAGAGGACGTGACCAGCGCGTCTCGGACGGGCGGCTACTCCGCCTGCAAACGTTACTCGTAATTTCATTAATATATCGGATCTTTCTATCGGAAAAATGCACCTATCGGACCGATAAAAAATGACGTAATTTCCCCCCAAATCGGCCGATATTTTATCGGTCCGATAGATATCGTGCATCCCTAATATATATACACACACATATATATATATATACACATATATATTTATATGTTTCAGGTTAATGATTATAGGGATGATTGAGGGAACAGGGTTTGCTTTATTTGCAAGAGCAGCCTTGTTTGGTGTGAAAGCATTGACTAACAAAGGAAAATTCTCAAAAGACTGCTGCCATTATTTCTTATTGCAATAATTTTAAGGAGCTCACTAGTGCAATAGGAATGGCATTTGCTTGACGGCATTTCTCACCACTGGTGTACACTAATGGGTTCGGGTATTACCACCACGACAGGCACTGACCGCCTTAGAGGGGGCTGTTCCTCCCAGTCATGCCCCTCCAGGTCTCACTTTCACTTCCAACATGGCTGCTGAAGTCCCCCAGCAGGACGAGGGAGTCCAGAGACTAGGGGTACTTGTTTATAAAGCTCTTAATGGTCTGGCACCCTCCTACCTAGTTGACTGTCTACCCAGATATGTCCCAAACCGCTCCCTCAGGTCATCCAGTGCTGACCTGCTTGAAGTACCCAAAATGGCATACAAAAATCATGGAGAAGCAGCATTCTGCTTCTATGGGCCGACAGCATGGAACAAACTCCCAGTCTCCATAAGACAGGCAACCTCTGTTGATAACTTTAAAACACATCTTAAGATCTATTTCTTCACCCTTGCTTTTATTTGATCATGTCCGCACTATTTGCTATTATTATGATGTTGTTTTATGCTTCTGTATTTATTGTCTGCTTATTTTTATTTATTTTTATTTTTTTTGAAAGTCAGAACTTCTCCGGGTGGCACACCAGCCCAGGCTCCTTCCCCGCAAAGAGAGGTGGCATTCCACGTCTCTGGTGCTAGTGTCTGCAGCCTGCACTCTACTCCTTTGGCCCCTCCTATGAGTGGTCAGCCCATGGGCAGGAGGTCCCACGTTGCCTCCTCAGCCCGGCTGGGCCCCAGGTGTGCAGGCCCGGCCACCAGGCGCTATCCATTGAGCCCCACTCCCAGGCCTAGCTCCAGGGAAGGCCCTGGTGACCCGTACTAGCGAGGGAAACACATTATCAAATATTATATTCTTCATTAGGTTTCTATTTGGACTACCCTTAGTCTGATCTCTCCTCCAGAAACTGTTTGCCATGGGTGACCGTAACGGAGGCATTAAGCCCCCTGACAACTTAGCTCCTGGGATCAATGAGACACGCAAACCCCTCCACCACGTTAAGGTGGTAGCCCGAGGAGGGGATTTTTTTTATTTTGTGTTATTTGTGTGGGGAAACCGGAGCTCCCGGAGAAAACCACACAGACATAGAGAAACATGTTAAGTCCTGACAGACAGAAAGCAGCAGCTTCAGTCTGTCAGGACCTGACATGTTCTTCTGTGCCTACTTGTTGGCCAGTGATGGCCTGTGTGTGTGTGTGTGTGTGTGTGTGTGTGTGTGTGTGTGTGTGTGTGTGTGTTTGTTTTAGGGTGAGGTGGGAGTTTTCATCTGCTGGTCCGACCTCCGCTGCTTGTACTGGCGCCGATGTTTAGGAGTCAATCCCTTTTTAACTCTCCTCCACCAGGAAATCTGAGGTGTTTCCTCAAAGGTCTCAGGTGTTGCTCCAGAGATCTCCTCCATCTTGGGTGTTGCTCCAGAGATCTCCTCCATCTCGGGTGTTGCTCCAGAGATCTCCTCCATCTTGGGTGTTGCTCCAGAGATCTCCTCCATCTCGGGTGTTGCTCCAGAGATCTCCTCCATCTTGGGTGTTGCTCCAGAGATCTCCTCCATCTCGGGTGTTGCTCCAGAGATCTCCTCCATCTTGGGTGTTGCTCCAGAGATCTCCTCCATCTCGGGTGTTGCTCCAGAGATCTCCTCCATCTCGGGTGTTGCTCCAGAGATCTCCTCCATCTTGGGTGTTGCTCCAGAGATCTCCTCCATCTCGGGTGTTGCTCCAGAGATCTCCTCCATCTTGGGTGTTGCTCCAGAGATCTCCTCCATCTCGGGTGTTGCTCCAGAGATCTCCTCCATCTCGGGTGTTTCCTTGATGGTCTCGAGCATATTTCGTTTTACTTTTCTCAATTTTCTTCTAAAATTTTCTTTGCTTCTGTTCTTTCTCGCCCTCCGTTTCCTAAACCTTGCTATTTTTAGCAGACTGTTTAAGGTCTCCAGCTGATCTTCATAAAACTCGTCTCTGCTTTGGGCCTCTCTCTGCAGGTCACTCACCTTCTGTTTCAGAGACTCGTTTTCTGTTGTCAGGTCTTCAATCAGCTTCATCTCTTTGCTGCTTTTGTCCAGAAGCTGATGCCTGACTTCCTCCAGTTGTGTCATGAGGTCGTCAGCCATCTGGTCCTTTTCCTCCAGCATAATGATTTGGGAAGCTACCATATCATTGCCCTCTTTAATCTTGGTGAGACAAATTGTTTCAGTCTCTGTTCTGCTCATGATCTCTTCCTGCAGCTCCCTCACAGTCAGCTTCAGAGACTGGTTTTCTGTAGTCACCTCTTCAATCAGCTTCATCTCTTTGCTGCTTTTGTCCAGAAGCTGATGCCTGACTTCCTCCAGTTGTGTCATGAGGTCGTCAGCCATCTGGTCCTTTTCCTGCAGCAGAATATTTTGGAAAGCTACCATATCATGGCCCTTTTGAATCTTGGTGAGATAAATTGTTTCAGTCTCTGTTCTGCTCATGATCTCCTCCTGCAGCTCCCTCACAGTTTGCTCCTGGGCAAGTTTTTCTGCCTCCAACTGTGTGAAGTTGTCATTTACAATTTGAAGCTGAGACCTTAAATCTTCCCCCTCTCTCTTGAGATTTTCGGCCCTGTTTTTCTCGGCCTGCAGCTGAGTCTTGAAAGATGTCACAAGTTCTTGGAGCTCTTGATTAACCCCAGTATCACTTGTTTCATCCTCTGCTCTTCTTGAAATACCATCCTCCTGCAGTTCCTTCACTTTCTGCTCCAGGGCAAGCTTCTCTGCCTCAAGCTGCTCAAGCTGCTCAAGCTGCTCAACCTGCTTGCTGTACAGCTGGTCTGCAAACTTGAGTCTTAGGCACAAGTCCTGCCGATCATTCTGGAGGGCTAGGTTCCAGCATCTTTCAGTCTCCAATTGAGCATTGAGGGACTGAAGACAGTTATGGAGCTCCTGTGCCTTCACGGTAATGATTGAAGTCTCCTCTGCTCTTCTTGAGACTTCTTCCTGCAGGTCTTTTACCTGCTGCTCCAGAGCAACTTTCGGGTGCTGTGTTACCTTCATGCACTGCATTGTGGCTTGTAAATGAAGAACAGTGAAAAAAATATCTCAAGTCTTCTGGACTGGTCTCTCTGGATGGTCTCTGTAGATGCTCTCTGGATACAGTCTCTGTATACGCTCTTTGTTTGCGGTCACTGTAAAGGTTCTCAGTAGATGCTCTCTGTAGATTGTGTGGTCTCAGATCAATCCTATGGAATAACAATCTGTGACTTGAGTCCTCATCTGGAGAGCTTTGATGTTGATGATGTCATTCTGGAGAGCTTTGATGTTGATGATGTCATTCTGACATCACAGTGCTAGTATGACATCACACATTTTCATTTGCATAATTCCGTTCTGTAGATGTTTTTTTTTTTTTCAAATGTAAACAACTTCATTTAAAACATATCACAAACATTACAGTATTTAAAAAGGAGCTCGAGGTATGTTATAATCACAACAGATTGCAATTAAATGAAACAAAAAAAAAAAAAAAACACAGACACACAAAAAAACCCCCACAAAAAATACATTTAAACAAACAAAACAAAAAAAACGCACAAAAAAAAAATAAAATAAAAAATCCTCCTTGGGCTACCACCTTAAAGCCTGTTTGACCTTTTTAAATCTTGAGAAGACATGGGTGCTTTTTATTGAGATTTTCTTTTCCTTACTTGTTGCACCACAAATTACATCAGAATTCCTCACAGCCTGCTTCATAATTTAGAAAGGAAACTAAAATGTTAACTAGATGTATAAAACTGCGGTAGAATACTGTGTGAAAGGCTGATATAATTGTCTGGACAAAAAGTAAATGACCTCAAGTATTTCAACATGAAAAATTCAAAGACACGGATAAAACATTTAAATCACAGAGTTACTGGGTAAGGGAGCGACAGAGAAGTGTGTTATTAATTTTACAGTGGTTGTAGACACTCTAAATTACATACAGGCAAGAGGAGACATATGGTCTCAAGAATCAATGGTGGGCTAGACTGTAGCCTGTAGTGATGGGCTCTATAAGTAGTGCAATATTGCATGTGTCTTTAAAAGTAAATGGTAAATTGACTAAACTTTAATGCACTTTTCCAGGCTTACAACCACTTTTGTATTTTTTTTCTTCGCTCTCCTATACTTCATATTGTATTGATTCATTTGAACACTCGTACCATTCAAAAGTACCCATCAGAATAAACTAATCTCTATGGGGGCTGGCATTGTACACCCAACCTTTTGACTGAGAGACAAACACAATCGCAAGGCCACCCCAAGGTGAAATCTTGAAAAAGCAGAAAACTCTATTTGAAAACTTTTCTATGAGCTTTCAGATATAGTGAAGCAGAAAGAAACTCTGGTTAAGTAAAGTAGCAATACAAGTATCATACAGAGGAAATTCTGAAGTGTTACACCTTTAACACTGTGTTGTAAAACAGTAAAACTAAAACCTCTGTGGTCCACCGGTTAACATGATTTATTTTAAAAGTAGTATTACATTGAAATTACTTGACAAATAAAACATTTAACTTTTAGATACAGAATACTCTAGGCAATTTATAGACACAAGATATTACACAAGATTAATTGCTTGATGTTAGTTACACCCACTGAGTCTCTCTTCAGTCACCAAAAATGGCCCATAAGTGCATTTTTGGTTTTCAGTTTTGGCCAAGAATTTTCATTTTGGTGCATCCCTAGTCTCCAGCTTTCTTACATAATACCCAGAATAACAAGGGTAGTTAATTCTTGACAGCAAAATTACACATGTCATTTCACATCAACACTGGGGCTGGGACGATATGCTTTTCTCCCGATTCGAATCTTCTACGATTTTTTCATTGCCGAATTCATTTAAATTGCGATTGTACGATATTGTCGATTTTCTTGATTTTAACTCCGCATTTATAACACCAGTGAAACAGTTGAATGATTATGATTGTCTACTGACTACTCCAGGAACTATATTTCCCCCAAAAAATGCACTTAAAATGTAAGTCAGTTTTTAAGATTCATTCTTAAATTTAAAAAGATTCTTTTTTTTTAAACGAAAACATGGATTTAAAAATTTTAAAACAAAAAATCGTGATACTTATGGAAATAGTTTTTTACTCCCACCCCTCATCAATACATATACACTCACCGGCCACTTTATTAGATACACCATGCTAGTAACGGGTTGGACCCCCTTTTGCCTTCAGAACTGCCTCAATTCTTCGTGGCATAGATTCAACAAGGTGCTGGAAGCATTCCTCAGAGAGCTTGGTCCATATTGACATGATGGCATCACACAGTTGCC